GATCCTACTTGATTTCTTTTCTTGCTCACATTGTTCCAGCCTCAGAGCCTGGGAGCTCTGTCAGGTGGCTGGGTTTACATTTATGACATTACTTGCTGCTTTCTAGTTATGCTGCTTTTCTTAGGCTTCCTTCTTCTTTCCTGAGTTCTGCTGGGTTCATTACATTTTCTTTATTCCTTTTTCCCTCCTAGATATGGAAGTTACACAATCCATTTCTTTCTTTTTTTTTTAAGATTTATTTATTTAGGGGCGCCTGGGTGGCTCAGATGGTTAAGCGTCTGCCTTCGGCTCAGGTCATGATCCCAGGGTCCTGGGATCGAGTCCCGCATCGGGCTCCCTCCTCCTTGGGAGCCTGCTTCTCCCTCTGCCTCTCTCTCTCTCTCTCTTTCTCTCATGAATAAATAAATAAAATCTTAAAAAAAAAAAAAAGATTTATTTATTTATTTATTTGACAGAGAGAGAGAGAGAGAGAAAGAACACAAGCGGGAGCAAGGAACCTGATGTGGGACTCGATCCCAGGACCCTGGGATCATGACCTGAGCCGAAGGCAGCCGCTTAACCGACTGAGCCACCCAGGCGTCCCACACAATCCATTTCTATTATTTTAGTGGTTAACTTAAAGTTCCACATACACTGTAATCTCAGTGACCAGCTCTGGCCATTCCTGAATGCCGCTGGGGCCTTACACTGGCATCCCTTCCCCATCTGCTGTGGTTGCTGGTCCAGAGCTTGGGTTTGTTTTTACGCCCCTTGTCCAGGCTGGGCACCCCCGAGCAGACCCCGAAACAAAGACTCAAGACTAGGACACAGAGTTTTTCCTGGGGTTGTCTGAGGTGAGAGGGGTGGGAAGGAGGCATTCCTGGGGCTGAGCAGGAGACACTGTGGGCAACGAATGGGGCTCAGCACACCGGGACCCTGAGGAGACCGTGGCACGGGTGCAGCACCGTTGCTGGTGGGCAAGGAGGCTGGCGGCAGGCACCGTGCAGAGTGTGGGTCCCGGACTGTGGCCTGCCCTGTGCTGGTTTAGGACACCTCAGGCAGAAGCTTCAGGAAGAGGGGCAGCTATGAGAACCACTGGTAGGTGTAGAGTCTCACGCCTGCCTCGGTTATGCTCCAGCCCCTCAAAGGAGCCCCTGGGGCTGCCCGTGCTCCCCCAGCTCCTGCCACCTCGGTCCATTGGTCCCTTCATCCTTCGCTGTCCTTGAGCTGTCAGACCCAACTCGTCCCCAGCTGGGTTATGCTCAGCGGGGAGCCTGCTTCTCCCTCTACCTCTTCCCCTGCTCATGCTCTCTCTCAAATAAATAAATAATCCCTCATCAGATAGAGGATTTGTGAATATTTTCTTCAACCTCTGGTTGTTGGCCTGGTGGCTAGGGGGGGAGGTGGATGTCCTACCGGGGGATAAGTGTTGCCTGGGGGGGTTGGCGGGGAGGCCTCAGAGTTCTATTTCAGCTGAGGCGGGGGTGCAGCTCTTCCCAGGGAGAGGTGAGCAAACCCTGAAGGTGCAGAAAGTTCAGGGGAGTCTGGGCCTTAGAGCTGAGGGGGACAGCCACCTGGATGTCCCCCCACACACGGCAAGGTCCCAGCTTTCCCCAGCAGGGTCCTGACAACAGGTCAGGTGCTGGGCAGCCGCCACCTGGTCTCTCATCCCCCTCCCGCCCAATCCGGGACGGTGACTGTTGCAGCAGGTGAACCACCAGGGAGGAGTGTGTGCCTACCCCCAGTGGTGGCTTGTCGCAGCCGGCCGGTGAGGAATCCGTCTCTAATACCCCTTCTAGTTGTGCATTGGGTCCTACGGAAGCTGACCCCGAGATGGAGTTTGGGTACAAGCTGTGCACAAGGGGTCAACCCCAGAGACAGGGAGGGGGCAGGATTGGGCAGAGGGAAGTCCGGCTGTGCTGCCTGAAGCCTCAGGCCAGCCATGGGGACTCAGCCTGCATGAAATTACCCGTTCAGAAGTTCTACCTGGGGCCACAGTGGCTGGCGACCTGGGTCTGTACCTGAGGCTGCCCTGGAAGGGTGGGGGCCTTGTGCTCTTGTCTCACTGGGGACCCCCCAGCGCCAGTGTCTATGGGTTTCTTCCCTCTTCCAGGGAGGGGCCACTGGGGAGGCACTTGCTGGTGGGAAGGGGCCGGGATCGCTTTGTCACCCACGCAGCCTTTCACTACACCCTGGCCTGGGTTTCCAGTCTGTGAGTTCAGCAGCTCCCTTCGGGCGCCCATGCCTCCTTCCTGTCCAGAGGAAATTCCATGTGCCCTGCAGTTGGGAGGGTGGTCCCAAAGGCCCAGACACAGATGCCCAGGTTCTTGGGGCATACTGCCTTCAGTGGCCTTCTGAATCAGTCAGAATCTCCAGAAAAACAGGCCAATAAGAGTGGGAGGGAGAGAGAGAGTGAGGGAGAGAAGTTGATTTATTTTAAGGAATTGACTCCCTTTGTGGCAATTGTGGGGCTGGTGAGTTCAGAGGGCTGAGACCCAGGGAGGAGCTGATGTTGCAGCTCGAACCCAGAGGCCCTCTGGAGCAGAATTCCCTCCTCCTCTGGGGAGCTCAGTCTTTTTCTCCTAAGGTCTTCAACTGATTGGATGAGGCCTACCCACATTATCAGGGTCATCTGCTTTATTCAAAGTCTACCGATTTATTTTTTTTTTAAAGATTTTATTTATTTATTTGACACAGAGAGAGACAGCAAGAGAGGGAACACAAGCAGGGGGAGTGGGAGAGGGAGAAGCAGGCTTCCCGCTGAGCAGGGAGCCCGATGCGGGGCTTGATCCCAGGAGTCCAGGATCATGACCTGAGCCGACGGCAGGACGCTTAATGACTAAGCCACCCAGGCGCTCTAGGATGGTCAGTTTTATATGTGAGTTTTTTTTTTTTTTTTTTACCAAATTAAAAAGATCGTGGTATGTAACAGATGTTCAGTAAATGTCACTTCTCCCTGAGTAATATTTCATGTTGATTTTGCCACTGTAGTCAGTAAATATATGAACAAAACCCCCTTCTTAACGACATCTAGACTAGTGTCTGAGCATAAGTCTGGGCTCTGCAGTCTAGCTAGACGCGCGAAATTAGCCCTCCTGCCTGCTTTCTCCTCAGGCCCCCGCCCTGTCTCGCGGCCGGTGCCCATTGGCTTCCTGCCTCACATGTTTGGCCTTGTAGAGGGGACTAGTTTATTGAAATGTTTCTGACCCCTGTTCTAGTTTGAGGTTTTCAAGGGAAGGGAGTGGGAGAGTCTCTTCTCATCGTCACAAAGCCTGAAACCAGAACCAGAGAGAGTAGCCAGGGCAAAGGTAGGGGACCACCTCCCAGACCTAGAGCCCGCTTCCTCTTCAGAAAGGGAGCTTATGCTCAGCGGGGAGCCTGCTTCTCCCTCTACCTCTTCCCCCTTCAGAAAGGGAGCTTCTGGGCCTTCTGGCCTGGTGCCCGCTGGAGCCATGCTGTCCGTCAGCACAAATCCTGCAGCCTCAGCAGCTGGACTGGGCCTCAGTGGGGAGTGTCCCGGAGGCTTCAGATATTCCGGCAGGCCCAGAGCCGGGCTGGTGGGGGCACGGCACATCTCACCTGCTCAGATCACCAGACAGTCATGGGCTGGGGCAGGCGTGTGTCTGTGTGACTCTGGGGGGCCATGCACAGGCGTGAGGGTATTAGGTGGGGGCACCCATCTGTGACTATCCCTGGGGGGAGCTGGAGGCTGGGATGGGAGGAGTCCCCTCAACCCACGAGGCTCCCACCTGTAACCGCAAGCCTCTGAGCCCTGTGGCCAGGCCAGTGGGTTTTGTGCCCCGTGCCGGGGCGGGAGGGAGGAGGCCCTCGGTGGAGGGGAGGGTGGGTGCCTGTGCCCAAGGGCTGAGCGCACGTACGCAGTCTTGTGTGCGTGCTATTCAGGCAGCTCGTCACTGAACAGCCAGGCCGTGAGGCTCCCTCGGGAGCCAGCTTTGCTGTTCTGAGTGCCAGGGAGGTCAGGTTTCTCCGAGAAACCCCAGAATAGCCCCTGGCTGCTCAGAGGAAACCTGGTCTGGCCTCCTGGTAGCCAGTCTGGCCCTCTGGCCCCCACCCCATGGCCAGTTGTCCCCTCCCCGGACTGCCAACTTCCAGCCCCCTCTGCACAGGGTGGCCAGAGGGATGCATTCGTTCTCTCAACCTGTCTTTAGAGACTGCTTGCAAAGCACCGGGCCCCTAGGGATATGGGGGTGTCACGGGGCCAGGGTGGGCATTCAGAAAGAACACCCGTACGTGAGTGCTGGCAGGGCCACTGCGAGGGTCCCGCGGCAGAGCGGAGGAAGGGCAGCCGCTGCCGAGGAGGAGATTCAAGGAGGCCGACCCGGTGAAGAGGAGGCAGCAAAGGGAGAACGCGTGTACGAGCACGCTGGGCCTCCCGGGCCACCCGGCCGCCCCTTTCCCACCCTTGGCCCTCAGCCCATGGAGTCCATCTGTGCTCTGGCTCTGGAGGGCTGAGGCTGGGGTGGGGCCTTCGATGGGACCTAGGCTCCGAAAGGGAGCTTCAGGGCGAGGGGATGCTTCATGCCAAGGAGGGCCAGAAAGGGGCTGTGTGTGGGGAAGGGCCAAGCCCGTCCCGAAATAGGGCCGCAGGATCTCCTAGCCATACAAGGACCTTGGAATCTGGACTCTGGGGACCCCAGGCAGCCGGGCCCAGCTAAAATGCGGCTGACAGCCCTCTGCCCCTAGTCACTGGTGCCACTGTGCAGTGCTCTCCCAGCCGGCCGCAGACATGGTAAGCCTGCTCCCGGCACCCGGCACCGCCCCTGGTGGGCTGGCTGGGTGGCGGAGTGGGGGCTGGGAGCAGTGCCCGGGGGCGGGGGGGTGGACAGAGGACAGGACAGGGCCTCCAAGCACAGGCACAGGCTGGGGCCTCACCCGAGGGTGTGAGTGCCTCTCTGGGAATCGAGGGAGAAGTTCAGCAAGGCTGGAGGGAGAGGGCAGAGTGCGGTGGCCAAGGCTGAGCCCTGCTGCCTGCTGATGCCACCCTCGCTCCGGTGGCCGGGATGGGGGAGCCCTTTCCGAAAGCTGCCACGGCAGTGGTAGGCCATCCCCAGAAACGCCAGAACAGGCTGGGGTCCTTCACTCTCACCCGGGTCATGCTCCCCCATGGCGTCCTTCACCTGGTCTCACCTGGTGTCCACTGCCTCCGCCCCAGAGCCTGGGCCCACCTGACACTCCCTCATGTGGCTGGCCTGAGCCTTGGTGCCTCACACCTGGCCTCTGCCTCGTGTGTCCTTCCCCTGAAGCTGCCTGGCAGAGTCCCACTCAGCCCTCGAGACCCATCCCTTGTGCCACCTTATCTGGAAGCTGCTCTGGGCTGGGGGCCTCCTTCTTTAACCATAGGCCCTGAAGGGTTGCCAAGTGGATGTACAGGGTGGGGTGTCGTGTGTGCTGGGGCCTCCACCCTCCCTCAGACTGAGGGGCAGAGGAGGCCCCGGTGAGGCTGGGCTGGTGTCCCTGCAGACGGAGCGCCTGACAGCCGAGCAGATCAAGGAGTACAAGGGGGTCTTTGAGATGTTCGACGAGGAGGGCAATGGGGAGGTGAAGACCGGAGAGCTGGAGCGGCTCATGAGCCTGCTGGGCATCAATCCTACCAAGAGTGAGCTGGCCTCCATGGCCAAGGACGTGGACAGAGACAGTGAGGCTGGGCAGGGGGCAGTCCTGGGGGCGGGGGGGAGTGTCACCTGTGTGAGCGGGGAGGGCCGCACCAGCTCACCCTCATGCGGCCCGCCCTGCTGCTTGCTCCCTGCAGACAAAGGATTCTTCAACTGTGACAGCTTCCTGGCCCTGATGGGGATTTACTGGGAGAAGGCCCAGAACCAGGAGGGCGAGCTGAGGGCAGCGTTCCGTGTCTTCGACAAGGAGGGCAAGGGCTACATCGACTGGGACACGCTCAAGTAGGGCCTGGAGCTGGGGAGGGGGTGGGTGAGGGCCAGAACCCTATGCGCTGCCACTCAGCGTGGGGGCCCCGCAGGTACGTGCTCATGAACGCAGGTGAGCCCCTCAATGAGGCAGAGGCCGAGCAGATGATGAAGGAGGCTGACAAGGACGGGGATGGGACCATTAACTACGAGGGTGAGTGAGGAACGGGCCTGGGAGCTGGGTGGCTGGGCCAGGCTGGTGGCTGACCTGTCCTTCGGCTCCCAGAGTTTGTGGCCATGATGACCGGAGAGTCCTTCAAGCTGGTCCAGTAGGAGCAGGTGCTGTGGCCATGGGAGGCCTGCCCGAAGAAGGCCACTGCTGGCTGCCGCCCACCCCATCCAGCCCCACCTCTGGCCAATAAACACTCCCGCCAGACTACTGTGTGTTTCACTGTTCCTACCTAGCTCAGAAAGGCTCGCAAAGATCTGGGACTGGAGAAAGGAGAGGGTTTTCCTAGGGCAGCCATGGCACATGGCCCGTCACTCCTGCTGTGACATCTGATACCACCCACTGCTCAGCTCTGGGCTCTGGACACCAACCTGAAAGCCAGATTGGGGGCAGGTCAAAGACTACCACTTGCCCTTCTGCCCGCACTGGGGGGTGGCTACCCACAGGCCCCTCCCAGAGCCTTTTCCTACAGATGGAGATCACTTAGGTACAAACTTTATTCTCTCTCCAAAAAGCTGGGGGTGTCACAGCCAGCCCCGAGCCCTGAGGCTTAGGCCTGTGGGGTCAGGGCTGAATGTAGCAGCCTATGTGTGCATGCTCTAGTGTGTGTGGGTGCATGTGTGTGGCCAACACAGGGCCAGCTGGCTGGGCTGCCTGGCGTTACATAGCAACAAGGCCAGGGCTGCAGCAATGTGCTGGACGGGCTGGCCTTCCCTGGGAAAGGATGGCAGGGATGTGCTGGGGGGGGTCCCTGGCTGCAAGGGTCCTTGCACCGGTCCCCTCTGAGCACAGGGTAGCTGGCAGAATTGGGAGGTTCAAGAGAGTTTTCCTCTGCCTTTGAGGGGTACCAGGGCTATAGCCAGGGGTGCTGGGCATTGGTGCCTGGCTCCTGAAGCCCTGCCGATGTCTCTAGGCCTCAGGCCCCAGGGAGAGGACTGGGTTACTAAGAGGGGGGTGGCTCTTCCTGGCTGGGTTTGGCCATCTTGACAGCCTCTTCATAGGAGGGTGGCAGCTCAGGGGCATACAGGCTGTAGGCAGGAGGGGTCATGGAGTCGAGGTCCAGCTCCCCAAAGGGAAGGGGCAGCCGCATGCCCAGCGGGTACTGCACAGAGCTGTAAGCTGCAGGGAACCAGAGTGGGTTTGTGGGGATGAGTCTGCTCTCACCTGCCCCCCACTCCCCCCTGCAGGCAGGCAAGCCAACAGGTGAGGTCTGCAGGCACTCACAAGTCACCGTGCTGTGCACTGGGCTGTCACTATCCATAGGGCTGACCGTCAGGTCACAAGGCTGAGGTGTTGGTGGCAGCTGTGGCTGGCTGTGTACCCGTTTCCGGAGGCAGCAGAACCGGACACAGCTGGCTGTGACCCCACACAGCAGCAGCAGAAGGACAGCGAGTAAGATAAGCCTGTGCAGGGAGGAGCAAGACCCTACCACTGGACTGACCCCTGGCCACTGGGCACCACCCAAGACAGGACAATGGGCAGGATAAAAGAAAACCAGAGAATGTCTCTCCAGGCCAGAGACCTCCTTCCAGGCCAGAGCTGGGCCTGAGGAGCCCGCCGTCCTGGCATCCTGCTGCCGGGCCTGTCCTGGCTCTCTCCAGGGCTGGCCACAAGTGCCTTGGGCTCATTCCCAGGACACACCGTCCCAGGCCATCCACACAATCCTGTGCCCAGACCAATGACCATGTTCACAGGGGCCTCCTGCAGGGGTGAGGAAGGAGGGGGTGGGAAGTGGGAAAGCGGGCTATGAAGGGAAGTCCTGCCAAGGGCCTGCGTGCCCAGAGCAGTCCCGGACTGGCGCAGGGCCCACAAGAGAGGCCGCCCTGGTGCTGAGGGCAGGAAGCAGGGGCCAGCCTGGGAGGCTGCTGAGGGCCCCAGCGCCTTCCTATCAGCGCCCGGAAGGGGACAGTGCTGGCGACTCCTCATCCGTGGAGCCAGGAGGGGTGGGGGTCTGGTGGGCCTGGCCGGGGGAGAACGCCGCGGCCTGCACTTACCCCACGTGCCACAGGCTGCTCCAGCGGGCCTGGGGCGGGCACCTGCGGGGACGGCGACACCTGGAGCAGGCGGGGCACCAGCCGGGCCGACGGCCCCGCCCGAGCCTCCCCCACAGGGCGGGGCCAGGCCCCGACTCCCACCCCCCTGACTTACAAGTCCGAGGGGTCGCAGCTGCCGTCCGCGAAGCCCAGCGCCACCTGTGGGGACAGGGGTGAGCCCGGGCCGGGGCGCGCCGAGCGCAGACCCGCCCCGCGGTCCCTGAGCCGAGCGCCGGCCACCCACCTGCGGCAGCGGCAGGAGCCACGGCAGCAGTAGGAGCGCCCGGGAGGCCGGCGCCCCCACCACCATGCTCGGCGCCGACCGGGAGCGCGGGCCCGCCGGCCGCGCCGCTTTATGGAGGCCCCGCCCCGCGCAGGCCCCGCCCCCGAGACGCGTAGCCACGCCCCAGGGTCCCCGCCCGCCGGAGGCCTGTCCCGCGGCCACACCCCGGATCCCCTGGCCCCAAGCCCCGCCCGCCAGAGGCACCGCCTCTCGAAGCCACGCCCAATTCGAGCCCCGCCTCACGGCCCCGCCCGCCACGCTGGTCCCCCGCGCCTGCGAACCTGGGGTGTCGGGGCGGAGGGAGGGGGGTCTTGCCCTCCGCCCGGGCGCAGAACCCCCATCCCGGCTGGGCCAGGCCTGTCCTGCAGTCAGGCTCGGTGCGGGCCGGGCGACCCCTTTTGTGGCCGCGGCGGCACAGGGTGTGGCCCCGGAGGGGCGGCCAGGATAAAATGTGACGACTTTCGCACACACCGCGGCGCTCGAGGTAAAGGGTTGCAAGAGCCAAGATTCTGGGGCGTTCCCAGCGTGTTGTTCGAGGACGTTTATTTTGCTCGCACGCTGCGGGCGCTCACTGCCTGGGGCTGGCCGGGGGTTAGGCCCACCGGGAGTGTGAGCGTCGCCCCAGGCCCCTGCGGCGTCCTGGGAGCTAACCACGTTTCCAGAGCACTTCGCCTTGAAAGACATGCCCAACCTAGGGCGTGTGGCCTCTGTGGTCTCCGGGGCTGGGGGTCACAGAATGCCTGCTGTGCATTCTGCCAGGAAAGACTGGGGGCCATTTCTTCCATCTGGCTGCTCTTCTCACCAGGCTAGTGGTACTGTTAGGTTCCCTCCGGCCTCTACTCCACCATCTGGTGGTCAGGCTAAGGGAGGTGGTCCGCCCTGCAAGGTGCAGGGTGATCAGGCTTGTCTGGGGAGTGGGAGGAGCAGCTACGCTTGACCTGTCTTTTCTTTCTTTTTTTAAAGATTTATTCATCTATTTTAGAGAGAGAGAGAGTGAGCATGAGCAGGGGGTGGGCCAGAGGGAGAGGGAGAGAAACTGACTCCCTGTGAGCTTGGAGCCTGAGGCAGGGCTCAATCCCACGACCCTGAGATCGTGACCTGAGCAGAAATCAGAGAGTCAGTGTCTTAACCAACTGAGCCACCCAGGCTCCCCTGACCTGTCTTCCTCCCTCCCCCGCTTCCTTCCTCCCCCTTCCTTCCTTCCTCTCTTTCTTTCTCTCTCTCTTTTTAAGATTGTATTTATTTGAGAGAGAGAGGGCAGGAGCAAGAGAGCACATGCGGGGGCAAGAGGAGGGGCAGAGGGAGAGGGACAAACAGACTCCCAGATGAGCAGGGAGCCCAACTTGGGACTTGATCCCAGGACCCTGGGATCATGACCTGAGCTGAAATCAGAGAGTCGGTCACTTAACCAACTGAGCCACCCTAGGTGCCCTGACCTGTCTTTCTTAATTGCATTCAGGATATACTCTCCATGAGTCTCCCCCACTGGAAGGACCTCCTGGGCTTGGCTCTCCTGCCTGGACGTGCCAGGCACCTGCTTTTTGATCTCACTTGATCTTGGCCCGGGCTTTGCCCCGAAGCTGTTCTGCACCTCCAGGCTGTGCCATGGCACCCCAGGGCCCCTCCTGCCCACCTTGCTCCAGCCAGGCTGGCTGAGCTTGGCTGCTGGCCATCCTTCCTCCTCCTCCCTCCTGCCCGTCACTGGATGGGAGGGAGGGGGATGGACAGAAGTCCAGCCAGTGCACAGGAGTTCAGGCAGGGCCTTGGCCAGTGAGCACCAGGGCCTGTTAGCAGGAGATTGAGGCCAGGGTTTAGAAGAGTGGCCTGCCCCTCTTGCCCACCAGCCAGAAGAGGAGGCAGGGACCATGCCCTTCAGGGAGCACCTCCTCCTGGGGCCTGGGTTTGGCCTGGGCCGCTGGAGCCTGCCTTCTCCTCTCATCTGGTGAGAAAGTGGCTTGGGCTATGGCTGGTCAGCTCCAGGAGGGCACAGACAGAAGTCCTGCAAAACTCCACTATAGAGTCACCGTCACTGGCCTCAGGTTAGGGAGATGACAGGCTTCCAGCCATGAAGGGCACCAAGGAACTGGGGTTAGGATAGGTGGTTCCAGGCTGGTGTCCTGAAGCCTGTGCCCAGGAAAGTCTCTAGATGCATCACACCCTCCATTCTTGCTAGGGAAAGTTGCACGTGCTCTCCTGTTGGCAGGCATGGGACTAGGGTTGGTGGGTTGGGTATGCTGTGTACAGAGGGGCCAGACTGGATGGGCTCTGTGGGGACAATGTCCAGCCAGCACTCTCCAGAAGGCAGGGGCTGGGGCAAGGGCACATTTTGAGCTCCAAGGAGTGTTGTATGGCCTGTGGGGGCTTCTACCTCGAAGGTAGAGCCGTTGGAGCCCAGAGGGCTGAGCCTGGACTCTGTCCAGAAAAATGGAAAACAAAACTTATGCTCTGGGCCTCACCCTGGACCCCAGCTAGACACTGAGGGAGGCCCTGAGCATGAGTCCCCCACATTTGTTCCCTCCTTCCTTGGGGTCATCAGGGATCCTGAAACTTTGGAGGGGCAGAGAAACCTAAAGGGTCCCCCTGGCTTTGGAGCCTCCTGTACCCTTCTTCATCTTTGCAGGGCCTCACTGGGTCTGGGCCTGTCTCAACTCCAGCCTGTATTCCCAGCACCCTGCCTTGCTAGCGGTTACCCCAATGACCTAGGTACCCACCCTCCAGAGAGGCAGAGTTCATTGTTTATGGACTGACTTTTGTGTGTGGGTGTGGGGGGTTAGGAGGCAGGGTGCTGCCTCCCCCCAGGGCTCTGTGTCCATCTCTGATGTGGGGCACATACCACACTTCAGGCCTGTATGAAGAAGCCCAGAGGTTTATTGACAGACCTGTGGGGGCAGCTCTTCTCCCCACTAGGACTTATAAAGTCTGGGCAGGTGGGTACTCGTGGGGCTGGGGGTTCTGAGGCGCTCAGAGTAAGAGTAGGTTGTGGGTAGGACTAGCCTTATTGCTGGTTCTGAGTGGGGCCAGGGAGGGGGTGCTCTCAGGCCTCTGGACTCACTGGGTCCGGGGCAGCAGGAAGTGGCCATGCCTGTGGGGCTGGGGTGCCCTGGCCCTGGGGCAACACAGAGGTCTGCACATTTGAACCTGCCCAGCAGGGGATGCCCAGGTCCCAGGCCTGTGGGTGGTTTGGCCTGGTTTACAGACCAGGGGAGGGCTTCAAGGGTGAACAGGAGGGTTTGAGGGGGTTCTGTGGAGAGACTCCTGTGGCCTCAGGGGCTGGTCACCACCTGGGCCACAAAGAGGACCTTGTAAGTCTCCTTCACGTCCCCCTTGAGCTGCAGCAGGGCTGACACCATGAGTGGATGATCTGGCTGGAATGGGAGGGGGAGGAAAGAAGGAGACCCTCAGCCAACTGGCCTACCAGACACATGTGTTGTCTTCCGGCCCACTGCCTGCCTCACCTGCCCAGGGCCCACCCAGCAGCCCCTTCCCTGGGTGGGGCAGGGTTGTCATCCCGCCAAGCCTTTGGCTTTTGCAGGGCTTCCTGGCCAGAGTCTGTGGCACCTACATCAAAATCGGCAGGTGGCATCCAGGAGATGCTGATGGTCTTGGTCTGGCCACGCTCCACGGAGCCCCTGGAGGGCTCGATGGTGAAGCCCTTGTGTTGCAGAGACGTGCCGCTGTCCAGGCTGAACTCGACAGTCTGCGGGACACTGGAGCTGCTGACCCTGGCGGGCCAGGCACAGCTCCCAGGAAGCAGTGGGACTGGGGTCGAGGGGGGCTGACTCCACCTGCCCTCTCAGCCCTGACCAGCAGGCTGCCCACCCCATATCAATCAAGGGGCAAGGCTGGGAGGGGCCCAGGCTGTCCAGGCAGGGGTTGCTGCAGAGGGGCTGGGTGGGCCTGGGCAGTGCTGTGGTCACCTTCTTTGGGGACAGCTGGGTGGTCCGGATGCAGCCCACCTGCAGCTCTCGGGTGGCAGGTGGGGCTGGCGTGTCTGTGTCTAACTGGATATAATCCAGGGTCACCAGGATGGGCTTTAGCTCCTCTGCTTCTGAAGAGAGAGGACCTGGCTGGGGCCAATGGGGTGGGGTGGGGCTGCCACCCAGAGAGTGAGGGAGCTGCCTAGGGTCAGGTGGTGCTCAGGAAATCTCTCTTTAGCATGGCCCCACCCTTTGGGCCAGGAATGGCCACCCTACCCTTCCGGCTTCCTAGGGCTAAGGGTGCAGGTGGGCAGTAGGAGGGGTCCTCTTACTGCACCGAGCCCGCCCCCGCCCCCGCCCCAGGGCTCACCCTCTCTGCGCTCAGGGTCGTAGGTGGGGATCACAGTCAGGGACTCCACAGGCACGTCCAGGGGGTCTCCGCCCTCCACGAACATCATGTGCTCACGGGCCGCGCCCTTCAGAAGGATCTGGTGGGAGAGTTTCTGGGGACAAGGAGCATAGCAGCGTTGTCCTGCGACCCGTGACCGGGGCTCCAGGAGGGTGCGGGCCCATGGGACCTGGGACGGTGGCCTCTCCACCTGACGACACCCCTGGCGCGGAGCCCCCAGTAGGGCAGGCCGGGAAGGCTGGGAGGGCCCCGGACACGTGGGAAGAGGGGTCGAGGCTAGGCTGGTGGAGCCACACCTTCTCAAAGAGCACGATCTGCAGCCTGTCGGAAAAGTACAGGCTCTCGTGGTCTGGGCTAAAGGTCACGGTGAAGTCCTGCGCCTTGCCCGGGTCCATGATGCCCTTGACCGGGATCACGCTGAACACGCTCTGGCCACTGTTGTTCTGAGTGCCTGTGGGCCGGGCGGCGTCCCTGCTCAGCCGGAGCTCCTGGACCCCCACCCATCCACTGCCGGCACCCCTGCCCCGGGGCCCCACCCCTGCCCACCGCCCACGGCTCAGCTCCCACCTCCCTCGGCCTTGCCCCAACGGCCCTCCCCAGCGGTGGTCCCCCGCCCCCGCGCGCCAGCTCACCCACTACTTCAGTCCTCTGGGCCCGAGAGGCCAGGAACTGCGGCAGCCGCTGCTGGTCTTCGCTCTTGG